GCTGGTCCTGTGAATCCTGCCTACATAAATAACCTCACGTGCCCATGGTGTTACCCAAATCTATCAAATAAACCCATAAAATAAACTATAAATTAACCCAAACAAAATGTGATAAATAAGCAAATAATAAATCTACACAAATAACTAGCAAAGTAAATATTATTGGATAATCCAAACAAAAAATAATTAACAGATATTAGAAAAACCTAAAGACTACAAAATAGCTCCTACACTGGGTAATCCTATTCTTTTCACTTAAAAAAAAAAAAAACCTTAAACTGTATACCACACTCCATGTAAAATCAATATTTCTTCAACAACCTGGGGGGAATTTATTCAAATTTGTCGCAAACATCCACTAAAGATGAACTAACTTTAGGACGTGCCTGGGTGAATTTCAATACATCGCATAGCAATGTGTGTGCAGTCGACAGCTCCGATTACAGCAGGAAAACCGGCCGTTGCTACAAATTGCACTTTTATGTCGTCCTGTTCAACTGTAGTGTGGGAATTTGATATATCTGGCTGACATTCGGATGGTTCCGTCCCACACAGCTGGCATGGCTCTGCTCACTGTCGACTGGCACAGTCCCGGTCGGTCGGCCAGCTCCGTCTGAAATGACCCTGTGGCCAGGAAGCCCAGTGTGGTCAGCACCTGTGTGGGCGCAGGTAGGGCATGGCTCCTGGACGTGTTGCGCTCCAATAATGGCCGCAGCTCCGCGCACAGTTCTCAGCGAATTGCCCTCGGGAACGTAAAGCGCTGATGATCCAGTCGTCCTCCTGAGGTCTCTGGAAACCCGTTCTCTTGGCACTGCTCCATTGGCAATATCCTCCAACAGGTCCAAACCTGCCATTGTTGTTAACAGTATCTTCTGCACTATTTTACGTAAACTTGTACAGACCCTTTCCAAAAAATTAGAATATCATGGAAAAGTTGTTTAATTTCCATAATTCCATTCAAAAAGTTAAACTTTCATTGATTATAGATTCAGGTCCCACAATTTAAACAATTTCAAGTGTTTATTTGTTAATTTTTACACAATTTGGGCTTTCAGCTCATAAAACCCACGAAAACAGGAATTCAAAAAATTAGAATACTGTGAAGAAATCACCATTTACGTCTCAGTTTTTGCAGAAAAAAAATAGGATCACATCAAATCAATCAAAATATGGTACTTTCAAAATGATATGCCAATCTTCAGTACTTGGTTNGCGACCCTAATGAGGATTAAGCGGTGTATAGAAAATGGATGGATGGATCTACTCAATAAAGGTAATATTTGTGAGGTTATGTTACATTTGTGAATGTATTGCAGGTTTTAGGTCAAGAAATGTTATGGTTATTCAAAGTTGCAAGTTTTTTATGTTAGTTTACACTTTCTTTAGTAGACATGTAAATCCAAAGTTTATTTTATTGTGCATTTTATTGACATTTTGTGTTTTTTAACAATATGGAAAATCTGATATGAAATCTGATATAAAAATGTTTTAAAAATTACTGTTTTTTAAAATAATGTAATTCTCAGAACACGTCACTATTGTAATTTTGAGACTTAAGGAAGGTCAGTGGAGTACATTTGGAAGAAGAAACGTCATCTCAGACATCCTCACCTGTAATAGTGACTTGAACCACATTGCTGACAGTTGAATTAACCAGAGCCCTTTTTCCGTTGATCTGGTAGAGGCAGGTGTACTCGCCCTCCTCTCCTCCTCGTACCGGCCCCACAGTGAAGACTCCAGGTTGTGGTTCAGAGTTTGATACCTGACCGGCCAGAGATTGAGGGGTAACAGATGTCACTATATTTCCCTCCATATTCCTCAGCAAAAGGAAGGTTGCTGGGTTTCTAAACAGGGACGATGACCGGGCTGGGTTAGTGGGGACTGTGCAGCTGAAGGACAGTGTGTCCCCACGTTTTACTGAACCTGAGGAGGGCTTCACGGTTAAGACTGGAGGGGGAAAAGAGGGAATGGTACTAGTCGGGGCAGCATCTGGAGAAGAAAGAAAGAGAATAATAAAAGCTTGATTTAGGGCCTTCGTATCTTCACTGATTTCCCTCTTTGGCACACAATTCATGTAAAATCTGCAACCTTGGTTTGTCAAATTGGAAGCCAAACTACCGCCCATAACCGTCAACAGTGGAAGCGAGCACACATTGTGTTTGATGTTTTTGTGTGTGTGTGGGTGTGTGGTTTCTATATGTACAGGATGCAACAACCGCTATACACCCACAGAGCAGAGCACAATAAGAGACCACAGAGAGCACCTGCATACAGCAGTGTGTTTTGTGGCTTGGAAAAGAGCGGATGGGAGTGTTTATTATTTTATACAACATGTCAAATCACCACTGGGCGCAGACTGAACAGAAAAGCTCTTTGGTTCTTTTGAAATAAAATGTAAAGCAGCAGGCAAGACTAGATCTGACTCATCCCTAATACCAACCCAGTGTCATCTTGATTCTCAGCATTTTTCACTAATAATGGAGTAGCTGTGGTAAGGTTTTTCTTCAGTGCAATCATGAGGTGTGTTTAAAGGCTTGATATACAAGTAGACAAATTTTCATCAGTTTTGTTTAGATGCTTCTATCAAGAAAAGGTCAAGCTAGAGTTTTAATCAGATTTTAAGTGAATCACACACAGAGTTGTTATCAAGGAATGTAAAAATAAAAATGTACAAACCTGTTTGGCACTCCAGTTGCAAATAGGGACTGAATGCACTGTATCGGCCCTCCTGGTTCCTGTACATGCAGCAGTAAAGTTCATGCTGGCCTGAAACCCATTCTTTCATCCTAACAGTGAACTGAACCTCCTCGGCATCTGACTGCGGGTTACGAGAGTCCACCTCGGTGAAATGAAAGTAAAAGGAATAAGTAAAATCGCAACGCTAAGCTGCAGAAAATATCCAAAAATCTTGAGAAACATTACCTCCTCTCTGAACCAGTACAGCCTGAACACAACCCCATGGTGACCCTCGGGTGCTCTGCAGACCAGGATTGCTGAGTCCTTTGACCTAGAATAGATGTCCAGCGTAGGTGGCGGAAGAGGAGGCAGGGAGGTGGTGGAGGCTGAAACTCTTCCTAGACAAGAGAAAGAGACATATAACATGAGTTACACAAAATCCTTGAAAAATGGAGAAACAGCAGTTGTGCAAAAACACAGCTGGAATTGCCACAGTGACACTCACTTTGCACCAAACTAGTAATTACAGCTAAAAATGTGAATGGTGTGTGAAACTCAAAATGAAGAACACAGTTTATTGAAATATTAAACACATTTACATCAAGAAACATACAGAATTTTTTGTGTTAATGATGAGAACTTTTTAAGTGATCACACTTTTTTGGGGGGGGATATTGTTAATTCTAAGAACTGTAAATATAGTACATTTTTCTATTTTTGGAGATATATTGTAGATTTTTGTTGTAAGCTCAAACAAAAGGAATAATGACAAGAAGGCAGTTTTAAGAAACATCTGTGGTTTGATGCTTACCCCAAAGTTGTAGAAAAGCAAATGTCAGAGAGTAAATCCAGAGTTGACCACGAACAACCGGCATCTTTGACACCAGAAAAACAAGAAGAAGAAGACTGGCTGAAATAAAGAAAGCACAGACAAACATGCTGCTCTCTCTCTCTTTCTCTCTCTCTCTCTTTTTCTCTCTTCCTCTCTCTGTTTTCTTAATACATATGACATCCTCTTAAAGGCACAGCGATGGAAGAAGTCAAACCTGTAAACACACTTCCTTTTTAGGAACTCACTGCTTGTGTGTTATGATGAGAATAAATAGCTGGCCTGAATCACAAAAAACCTCAAATAAATAATTTTAAAAAAAAATCTGTCAGCATGTTAAAGGAAACAGAAAATATTTCCCACCATAATGTGAGAAGCGTACTTGAAAATACCTTTATATTTTAGTCCGGTATGCTGCCTTTATTCAATAAAATTTGAGTTGCAAATCGATACCAGTGAAAAAGTTGCTCCTGTGGCACTTTGGGATTTCTTTTTTCCTTGACATAATGAAAATAAGGAGACACTGATCTGAAACTGCAAGTGTGTTGTCAACTACTGTGAGTTAAGCAAGTTCGTTAACAGCACAGTTGCTGCCAAGGTCTTATCTCTGAACTTTATGTCCCGCCCCTTCAACCAACTCCCATTCACACCTGACTTGCAGGATCTCCCGATCTTCGTTCATGCACACAGCTGCCCCTAGGTCTGCTATTATACCAGTCACTTATACGTTTTCCCTTCTACGTCATGTTGTCTGTCATGCTGGGTGTAGTGGCTCATTTGTCTCTAAAATAAACTTAACTTAAACAATAATCAAAAGGCCACTGATGCACCATGGGTATGTGGTTTACGCAGGCAAAAGAGTCATTGTCCATACCAAATTATTGCGTTTTTCTTATTTCCTTTATTACCAGTGAGGCAAACAAACAAAAGAACAAAGGTGCCATCCT